CAGGAGAAAATTAAAAAATTGGAGAAAGAGTTTTGGGGAATTACTTATCAAACACACAACTGTTGAGCAGTGGTTCTAGTTGAAACAGCTAAATGTTCCAGACATGTGAGAAACCTAACCTGCTTGTTATTGGCAGAACATGCCTTTCCCATTAGTTGCACTTTTTTTTTAATATGGACAAGAGAGAAGTGGAAAGAAAATTAGTGAGATTTTCATGTTTATAGTATATCTCTAACTTTCTGTCCTGTTGCCTTTTCAAACAGAGCATGAAATGTAATTCACCAAACCTATATGAGGGCACCTGACAGGCTTTGGAGCCACTAATTTCAGAGCTTTTCTAAATGCAGGCAAATGCCAGTGGCTATAGGGAAGAACAAAGTGCAACAGATGCTCTGCGGTCCCTAGGTTATTGGGTTGGCATCGTAATGGCTTTGTCATTTGGAAAAGGGAGTGGAAGGGCTAAAACAGCTGGCGCTGTGACTTACTGCTCTCCAGAGTTGTCAGGAGCTATGGCAAAGGTGCTGCAGAGACCTGCATGCTGGGTTTTCAGGCAGCAAAACGAGCATTTGCTTCTCATGTTCCCGTGCTCCAGGTTGGACTAAGATACCCACAGGGATGTTGAGGAACAAACGTGGAGAAATTAAGAATGTAATCTGAAGCACAGCATACAAAACTTTTAGGGGCTGGGCCACATCACAAAATAGTGTTATTTTGACTAATCAAATCAAATGATGGTAATTCCTAAATGACCAGTGGTGTAATACTGTCATCAAGACAAGACTTGGTGTCTGGGGAGCTGCTTATATCACTTACTTCATCAGTGAGTGACACCAGCCTGCTTTGTGTTCAGCAGTCAGGAGGTAGGTAATGAAGCAAGTGCTGGGCAGCAGGAAAAGCAGGGTTGATACTGTGGGATAAAACCAAGGACACTGCATTATCTCAGGTTTTATCAGAGATGAGGACATGAGATGGCAGGCAAATGGCCAGTAATCGTGTATTTCTCTGCGTTTGAGTGCTTGACTCTTTCAGATAAGTTCAACAGTTTAATCTGAACTCAAGGGCAGCAACTTTACTGAAATACAGTCAACAAATGTGTTTTGGGACTCTTCAGTTTGTCATTTCCACAACAAAATTGCCTCCAAGAGTACAGTGAGGAGAAATTTGGTAAAACTTAAGGCAGTTCAGTAGCAGTTGGATCTCTTGTCCAAAAGATGGTGAGCAGAGCTCCTGGTTTCCCTGAAAGCATGGTGGATGATACATTTCCATGCCCACGTACAGTGTGGTGGCCCATCGTCATTTGGGGGGACGCTAGGTCCTGGAGTATTGAAAGAATGCAGAATATGATCCACAGTGATTCCAAAGCACAGTTTGGAGATAGTATCTCTACTTTTACCCTCAGAAAATAAGATATTTTTCTTCTTGGCACTAATTGCCATTAAAAACCCAAGTATAGGCCAGTAATTTGCTAATGTTTAAAAGAAATGATTTTGTGATAGGAATTTGGTGTGTTTATTGGTTTAAAAAAAGCAAGTCTAAAACCTTGACAGTGTCCCAGCTTCATCAGATTATTAGACCATGTCTATGGCGTTGTTAATGAGATCTATCCAGATTTGTCACTAAAAATAGCAATGGACAAATAGGAAGTGTTCGATGTAGAGGGTCACCTTGGAGCAGTTACACTCTCCTGTAATGTCAGTCTCTTTTTACTCAATTTCACTAAAGTAGTTATCTGGCTGTAAAGCAGTTCAGGCAGTAATGTAGGATGTCGTATATATTCCTTTAATTATTATGATCTTCCTTGTAGCAATTATAATTTGCTTTATTGCAGATAACAGTGAATTGGTAGATAAAAGTCACTAGACAGATATGAAAAGTTGTGCGTTCTAGCTTTTAGATTGAAAGTATAGCAGCTGGTTCTTGGTTAACCTTGTTTTTTAAACTCAAATATTATTTTGGAACATCAAATAAAAAGAAACAAGAGACAATAAGAATATTTTCTAGTAACTGCAGTGCATAACAGAATTCACTTGTTTGTCTCACTGATAGACAGTACGTGAGATGTAGGCTTTCCTTCAGTTGCAGAGGAAGAAATCTGTATGAATGCCAGGAGCATCTATTGAATGCTTTTTCTCAGACTATATGAGAAAATTTTCCCTTTTGCTTGCAGTGCTCTGAAAAGGCTGTCAAACTCCTATGTTTCCTATGTTCCTTTTGACAGCGTATCAATTTTGCTGCACTTATTTGTCCATATATGGGAAATTGTTAGTGGGACTCAGTCCTTTCCCTGAGTAGAATCCATTTCTGATGTACAGTTGTTAGGTCAGTTTATTAGTACTTTTTTTTTTTTTTTTAACAATCAGAAGCATATATATTGAATAATCTCTTTGAGGTCTGTCTTTGTATGATTTGTTTTTCCTTCCAAAATGGTAATGGGAATTGGAAACATAGCTCTGTTGAATAATCAAATTCCACATAAATGCTGTGACTTTATTTGTTTCTTCTACCATAAGCCCATGGAAACAAATTACTATACATTATTATTATTTGTATCCCATTCGTTTGGGAAAGTCAATATACGCAAAAGGCAAAAATGGTCTCAAAAAGTTTTCTAGTTAGTCATTTTTATAGTAAAATCCAAACAGTACATTGATGAGAGATGCTAAGACCCTTTCTTCTGTATGGCACATTATGAGTATGTAAGTTAAAGTAAGTTAAAATATATGTTTATCTATAGTTTATCATTTTTATATGTAAGATCAAGTTAAAATATACTTCAAACAAGGGGATCACTATTCCTTTTCATTTAGACCCTGAATACAACTGTCCCCACAATCTGTTTATGGTTCATTATCCTCAACCTAATAGATAATGGAGAATTCCCTTGCCTCTGCCAGAGCTGCTATGAAAGGTGAAGCCTTCTTTTATGCTTTGAGCGTGTCCTTTGCGGAGAGTTATGACTCATGGCGGAAGCAAGATTTGTTTAGCACTAGGTCTGCATTTCCTACCTGATAAGTATTATTTTTTATAGTCTTATCCACATGCTCCAGTTAGCTTCCGACTCTTTTGTACGCTGTTGCATGTACCGGCACTTGTGGCAAGACTTGGAGGCACCTGCTGCGGGTCTGGGTGTCCTAAGGCGAGATGTTCAGCTTTGCTCCCTTCCCACTGCATACATTGGGTAGGCTGTTCTGCTCCACGTAGGCGCTGGCTGGATGGGCCAGCTTCATTCTTCTTGGCTGTCAAAGGAACAGGACAGTCTACTTGGTTCAGGGGTTTGGGCTGTTGTTTCTTTTTTTAAATTGATTAAAACAATTTAGTGAAGGCGTATTTTAGAATTGACTAAGACATGAGATGAAACTGGAAAAAAAGGAGAGAGATTGTCAGAGGCAAATATTTCATCGTAAGGGAAGGAATTATTTTATCAAGTTTGAAGCAGTTTACCATGTCACTATAATCACTTGCTGGCAATATTAAAGTTTAGCTTCTGATACCTTTCAGTGCTTTATCAGGGGACTTGTCATTTGTGTAAGGTATCAGTAAGGACATAAGTACATAGGTACAGTTGCCTTTGTTGATGCCAAGGCATCATAATCCAGAAAATTTATGGCAGGATTTCAACTTCAGTATTGCCAGAAATAAAATTAATCCAAGGTGGAAGTGTCCTTTCTGAGAGTTCAGATCCTTCCTGGGATTGCTTTTCTCATTCCCTTCCTGCTTTTTTGCAACTAAGCGTCTACCATTTTTGGAAAACGTTGGCTATACTAATATACCAAACTTGCTTTTTCCTTTCTTATTGACTTGAAATTGAGATTAACAAAGTCAATTCCAAGCAAGTAGTACATACGAGTAACGATTTTTGTCCCAAAGAACAGCACTGACTTGAACAGTATGGAAGTGCTGATGCTCTTGCTTTGTGCAAGAGCCCATAATGACAAAGTATTCTTGTCAAAGTATATAATGAAACTATAAATTGTTTTCATGACTGCTGTGATATTTGGTCTCTTGCAGAGCACATTCAGAAAGTATTTAGTGCCATGTCTTATGTGAATAACATCAGAAATAGAAATATATGCTTTAGCATGAGCAGAGTCAAGTGATGGGTAAGAAGAATCTGCTGATTGAACATCATATTAAATGAAAAAAGTTGCCTGAAACTTCTGATAGGTAACATTTGGCCACTGCAGGAAAGGATGATGTGCACGTTACTCTCTCTGCCTCTTAGTGGGGAAAGGCAACGAAGCAGATCAGACTAACGCAGAACAGCTAAGATCTGCAAGTTCTGCTTTGCTTTGTGCATGAGCCCTACGCAATAAGAGGCGGTGGCTGGAGGGGAAGGCTCACCTCTGCATTCCCTCCCTGTTCAGGTGTTTGCAATATTCCTGCATTATTTCCCATTCTTTTGACTCAGCAAGCAGGTGTGTATATTATCACAGCTGAATTAGCTTTTACCTGTGCCAAAAGGGTATCATACTGTAATTGTTTCAGACTCAAGGTAAATTTTGGTTGCCACTCATGCTACCCCTTCTGCTGAAACATGTTCCTGTTTCACTGTCCAGGTGGGAGGCTGAGCCCAGAGGACATTGCTGGTAGCGAGGAGGAGGATGAGGGAAGGGGGCATGATGTGGGAAATGCTGCTTGCTAATTGAAAGCTGAGTGTTGTGGACAGAAGTAGAAAAGGGAGTTTTCAAAGGCTTCTTCCTTCTAGCAGTTTTCCCAGGGTTGTGGGTTAAATTCTGAGGTTCCTCATACTATTGCATATGAGGAAAAAGAGGAGAAACTTGAATTGCTGAATTCAGGTGAGCATGTGGCCTTACAAATGGATTTCAGGCTTCTGATACAACAGATTTCTTTCTTGTGATTGTTATTAATAGGCTAAGATGAGTTGTGGCAGACTTTGGTCTCGTGCAGACAGTCTTCCTCTGTCTTTCCAGAGAAAATCCAGTGCTGGCTGGGGTAGAAATGGCTTGTTAAAATTATTTTGGTTTTGTTCTCTTCTTCAGTATCTGGTGTGCAAAAGGAAGCTTGAAAGTAAAAAGGAGGCATTGCTAATCCTTTCCAAAGAGCTGGACACCTGTCAACAGGAAAGAGACCAGTACAAGCTTATGGCCAACCAGTTGCGGGAACGACACCAGTCTCTGAAAAAGAAGTATCGGGACCTGATTGTAGGTTGTTCTTTATGAATACTGTATATTTCGGGGACAATGATGAACCTCAAAAAAAATGGAAAGAAGTCCATAATGACTGCTGTAAAAACGTTTAGGTACTTGTTTACGGTAGTCCTGCAGTTGTACAGCCCTGATCATATTATTACTCATTTGTTCCGCATTGATGAGGTAGTGCCTGTTATGTAAGACACAGAAAGACAGTGCATGCTCTGAGGAAATTAGTTTCAGTCATAATTCCATTTAAAAACTGACTGCGGTATTATTATTCCACAGCAACTTAATGTACTGTTATGAAAAATAACGCAACATAAATTTGTAATGACCTGCTGTTCTAGAAATGTAAACAAATCTTCAGCCTAAGACAATTTTTTGAGTTGAAATTAATATTACTAGTATTAATCAACATGCAGTATTTTAGAAACAATTTTGATAACATTTTAGTTAGAATACGTGTTTTAGAATTTGATACACAAACTTAATATAGTTGCTGGCTTCAGAAATAAGTTGCCAATAAAGTATGTCCATTTATTTATTTGTAGGATGGGGATCCATCCCTTCCACCTGAAAAGAGGAAACAGGTAGGATTTATTTTTCAGTTGACATTTTTTATCTGCTGTGAAAGTACTTTGCAAAAGTGTGAAAATACTAACTAGAAATCTGGTAAAAAGTGAGCGTTTCTGTCTGTTGAAAAGCTCAGTCTTTAAACTGTGGCTTCTTGTGCTTTTCTCTAAATGTCTTACACTGAAATACCTGAACTATCATTAATTAGAATATATGGCTATTGCTTTTATGTTCACCTGAGACTGAAATTGGTCAGTGTACAGAGACTTGAGACTGTTCTTGTTGTTTATCCTTCTTGTATTGAGTCCTAAAATGGGTTCATGACAGGACTTCTCATACTTAAAAGCAATCTGGGAATGCATTGTCTGCATTCCATAACTGTTAATTTATTGTTGTTAGTACTGTTTTCCATTAGGTACTCTTACAGGTCACTTGGGCTCTATGAGTTATAAACGGTAAGAACAATGGTAATTGCATTTTATTTTTGCCTATTCACAGATTTTTTTGTTTGTTTGTTTGTTCTGGAGATCCATGTAGTGTGTCCTTGTTCTTGAGTGTTGGTTGTCACATCTTAAAACTAGCTTAGTTTTTAGAGAAAATGACACCCAAAACACAATGTGTGAGCAGGGAGAGGAGGACAACCCAAAAGAACAAAAATTGTTACTGTAATTGCCAGTCCTGAAAGTCTTTTAACCATGTTTAAATCATGGTTATTGTGTTCTCATAATGGATTGGAAGTTCTAGTTATCATCCTTTCCCTGGGAGTTTGCATATAGTACTTGCTGTTTTCTTAAAATTTTAGGGGCTTAGGATTTTGGTTGTTTTAAACTAAACTTTCAGAGGCAATATAATTATTCCTTCAGGCAATTAAACAAGTAGCTTCCAAGAAGTCAGTGGCTCAGTGTAGAATCATTTAACTTCATCATTATTTAGCATAATTTATTTGAAATTCTGTTATTTCAACAGAGTTCTAATAAAAGCTTATGACCAGATACAGGTTTGTGCATTCTGACTACTAAAATTGGAGCTGAAGAATATACAATTAAAAGGAAAAAAACAACGATGTAGTATATGGGTCATTACAGAGTTAAATAGGAAGGGAGATTTGTCATCCCATGGATGTTGTTCTAATTCATCTTCCATCCTTCAAAACAAATAAATCTGACACTTGTTTTCTAAAATACTAGCAAAATTTAGTGTAAACTCAGAACCTGTGATTATATTAAGTTTTGGCAAATCTTACCATGGTAAGTGCCTGGAAAACCATTTAATAATCTAGCCAGGAGTCTTCTTTTTTCTGAAAAAGTTATATATTCATGCTAGGTGACAGTGAAAGAAATAAAATCTTCTTGTCAAATGGGGTCATTTATAGGTGTCCCTAAGGACAATGTTTATGTTAGGTTGTACAGTAATAGACTGTTAATGCACTTCTTGAGTTTTCATTTTCCTGAGAAGTGTGCCTGTAGCATACAGGGTGGATAATATGGAGTATTTAGGGCAACCTTTCTGAAGAAGAGTATAGTTTTGCTTTGAGAAATGCATCAAAGAATAATAAAATAAAGTTATTAATATTTTGCCATTATTACTGTACGTACATTTCTTAGTATTTTCTTATCTAAGAAAGAGTGAAGTTCTCTGTGCTGTTTTGTACTTTTTCCATCCCCTTTTTGCCCAGCAGCCTAGTTGCCTTCTGGGAGAAGTTTGTGACCTCAAGTCACTTTATAAAAAGAGAGACCCTGATCCTATAATGAATTTTGTGTGACACAAAAGTGCATGCTGTTCTCATGGTCAGAAATGAGATGAAAACATTATATGCTGAACAATTTGCTATCTGTTACTTTTCTTTACCGCAACTGAGAAATTATTGTTGTAATTGCAATCTAGAACCTTAATTGTAATAGCTGGGTTGGAATTGCTACTTTCTTCTCCTTCATCTCTTCATTTTCACCTTTATTATCAGTTACACTTTGTGACTTCTTAAAATACCTTGTTTTCCACACCGTGCCTTCTCTCCCTGTTTTGCAACACAGAATTTTCATGTTTTATATGGAAATATCATGTAACCAGGCAATTTCTATCAGCAAGAGGTTAACTCAGAATGTGTTTTTGTAAAATTGGTGTTACTTAAAGGTATCTTAACATGCAGTGCTCTGCAGTGTTTTCCCTCTCAAAGCTGTGTGTGCAGTGGAACGCATCTCTGACATAATCCAAAGGTTGCTCCATGTGTATTGCCTTCTGCCAACCAACAAAAGCAGGAAATGAGAAACTGTGCTACTGAAATCTCTTTTCCTGCAGTAGGTGTTTTACCATTAGCATTGTTACCACAGCCTGTGAGCTGTCAGTGCTTTCCTGGCCTCTCTTACCAAACATTCACAATTAAATGCTGTGCTTGAAGGTAGTTTTATGTCTTGTGGTAACAGGCGTAGGGTAACCTTTGGATAAGTAATGGAGGGGTGAAATGTTTCAGGAGGGTAGGAATAATGAAGAGTTGATTTTGATGTTAAAATTAACCAGAGATAATAAACAGTAGGGACTCCCCATTTTGAAAGGCATATTAAAATGTCTACATAGCCTTTGTTGTGCATGCTAGATAGATAGAAACTCTACCATTTTGCAGTGGTGTACATTTATATGCGTTTGCTGTGATATGACTTTTTTATGACATTGGCAAACAACTACTGGATATCTGTTGGACAGTGTTTCCATGCTGGGAAACTTAAAGAAAAAAACATAGATGAGATTTCTAACTTGATTTATACTGACTATTACTTTTGTCTGCATTGCTTACATTTTCAGTATAACTTCAGTTTGGGAGGAGCTTTGTTGTTGAAGTAACAGATCAGTGAATCCTCTGACCTTCTATATGAAAGGGAAGTTCTTTTAATACAAATGAGATCCTTTGAATAAACAAAAGTGAAGTAAAATGCATGGTTAGGAAAATGACTGTGCTGGGCCACAGTCCTAAATATGCTTTGCTTAATTTGATCTTAGTGAGACCACTCAGTTGGAGATAATGGGTTTGCAGTGGGGCTGTGTGTCAAGAATAAAGTCACAACGCATATGTTCACTGGTGAGGGCTTATATTTGTATTTTACATGTATGAGGAACCTAACTGAATGGAGCTAAACATCACAAGATGACAGAATCGTTAAGGTGGGAAGGCAGCTCTTGAGATCAACTAGTCTAATCCCCCTCCTCAAGCAGGGTCGCCTAGAACAGGTTGCCCTTGACCATGTCCAGTCAGGTTTTGAATATCTGCAAGGATGGAGACTCCACAGCCTCTCTGGGTAACCTGTTCCAGCACTTGACCATTCTTACAGTAAAAAAGGGGAGGGGATGGTGTTCAGATACCTGCAGGTATTGGGGTGGCTAAAGTCCCTCATGAGGACCAGGGCCTATGATCATGAAGCTTCTTCCAGTTGTGTGAAGAAGGCCTTATCTACTACTTCTTCCTGATCAGGAGGTCTATAGCAGATGCTCAGTACAACAGCACACATGTTGATCTGCCCACTAATCTTGACTCAAAAGCTTTCAGCTGACTTCTGACCTGTCTGAAGGCAGAGCTCCATGCATTCCAGCTACTCTCACATAAAGTGCAACACCCCTCCTCACCTTTCTGCTGTCCTTCCTAAAAAGCCTGTATCCCTCCGTCACAGCACTCCAGCTGTGTGAACTATCCCACTGTTTCTGCATGATCCCAGTGAGATTGTAGCCCTGTAACTGCACACAGTCTTCGAACTCGTCCTGTGTGTTCCCCATGCTGCATGCATTAGAGGCCTCAGAGGGGCATCCAGGTGTGGTGGTTTGGCAGTACAGGCTTGAGAGCTTTCCCCACAAGGCTGTTCTGCAGGCACTTCCTTCTTTACATGCCTAGGCTCAAAGGAATTGCACTTCAGCTCAGTTGCTTTGTGAATTGCTATGTCCTTCTCTTCCCATCATCCCTGGCTCTTCGCTTGCCTGCCCTATCCCAAGCCTCCGTGTTCCTTCCTCCATAATTTCTAGTTTAAAGCTCTCCTTATGAAGTTGGACGGCCTGTTGGCAAAGATGCTTTTCCCTCATGTAGTCAAGTGGATCCTGTGTCTTCCAAGAAGCTGTTGAGCTTTAGAGAGAGTGCTGTGGTCATAAAAACCTATTTGAGGCTTCTAATAATGAGCCTCATAACATAATGATGACATAGTCCTAGTATGGAGCATAGCTTGATAGCTACTCTTTTTGCCAGGCAAAAAGTCTCATCAGAGATCCCGTGTGCATCTTGCCTGAAGGTGGTCCTTAACTCTTGTTACAGTTATCTGTAGGTGTCCCAAGGTGGTTCATTCAGATCAAGACTCTGACTGCTTCAGCAATCATTGGCATCACAGCAGCATGCTACCCACTCACCAAGATGTTGGTCAGATAGCTTGACTTCTGCGAATGAGTAAGTTCATGAGCGTGGCTCATTGGGGCAAGCAGAACATCAGAAGGACTGGAGGTACCAGGCAGGAATATGTTGTGACATACCAGAAATGGACCCATTTTGATCCCTTTTGCTTCCAGCCTAATGTACTCAGCTGTCACAACTCACTTTTGAAACCAACTTCAGGGATTACCTTATGACCATTTTTGACATCGTCAGAAAAAAAGACTAGTGTGACTATGCGACTATAGTGTGACTATTTCTTGTTAATTAATGAATTTGGGAAGTTTTGCTAGTCTTGTGCTAAGGCACAAAAGCTGCATTCAGAGTCCTATGAGATAAAATCTTCAGATAAAATAGACTGCGGGGTAAGCAATCATTTTGTATTTATCTCACAAGGGTGCTGTGAAGATTAATGTGATTTCCTCCTCTCTTCAGAGGGTCTGAAGATTAAAAACATTACACATATGCCAAACTTAGACCTGCGCTCTTTGCTGTGGTTTGTAGGTATGTTTGATTCCCAGTGTGAGGTAGCAGATGGAAAATGGTGAGATTGTTTGCCCTTGCAACGCATCAGAGAGCAATATTCCCATGGATTTCAAAATATACCTGCTCTGAGAGCAT